GCCACGATCTCTGCAGGCATCCCTCACAATTTCCCCAGCAAAGCCGGGAGCCCGGCTATAGGAATTCACTGGCTCAAGGCTTCGGGGTGTCGCTGGGTTCTTGTTAAGGGGTTGAGGTGATTTTAAGGTACCAGCGTGAGGATCTACTGTAAATAATAGGGTTTCTTGTCTTTCTTATGGTAACTTCAATTACATCCCTTAGCAAAAACCTAGGGGTTCTGAGACTTGGGTTGGGGAGTCTCCGAGTTCAGGGCTTTAGGATGTCATAGACCTCCGGCTGTAGCTCCTTTGCTGGAGGGGGAGCTCTTTGGCCCGACAGATTGAGTGAAGACGCAAGCTTAGTAGTAGTAGTAGTAGTAGTAGTAGTAGTAGTAGTAGTAGTAGTAGTAGTAGTAGTAGTAGTAGTAGTAGTAGTAGTAGTAGTAGTAGGGCAGGTAACCTTACACTTCTCTGGGGTACTATAATCCCCATATACTCCCAAAGGTTAACCTTAGTTCCCCTAGGATATTGGACAACTAAGTGCAAGAGTGGGAGTTTCGGAAAGCTCAGATCCCTGCTTCGGGTTTCGGGGCTGTTCGGCGATTACGGTTGGGGGGCCTTGGGTGGAGGGTACCCCCCCAGTAAACCCAACACCCTTATCCTCTAAACCCAGAGCCCTTATTTTAAGTATCATAACCCCGATCAGAATTTTGGATACTTATAACCCCGATTAGGATTTAGGGTACTTATAAAACTCTAAAATCCCTAAACCCTGAACCCCGAAGCAACTTCTCTTTTTGAGGACTTATATAAGAAAATGATAATGAGGAGCCCTAAAAAGGCGATCAGATCCGCGATCGAAGATTTGGGTGTCAACGCTGCATCAACATCCAGGTCGTGAGAGAAAAGTACTGGGAGAAAAAAATGCAGCGGCCAGACCTCTGCAGCCTCTTCCTGGAGTTCGCAACTTGGTTGAATGAAGAGTGTCGACAAGGGTTTCTTTTTACTTTGGGTGATGCTGTGACTTATTGCCTCGGTGAAAAGGACACCCCGGAGTCGGCAGAAAGCGCCGCCCTGGCGATCCACGGCCGGTGGGACTCCAGGATGGCTTCGAGTAAGTTCTTACATGCTGAGCTGGCAGCACCGAAGAACACTCACAGCCGTCCCAAGCCGGAAGCACCGGCGGCTCTGGCGGCGCTGGCGGCAAAAGCCAGGTGCGCCAGGTGCGCGACGACCGCATCCTAAGTGTGCGGTTTGCCCCCCTGAACCCTGAAGCCCCCAAACCACCCGAAACCCCATTAGAAATCCCCTTCTTATCCCCTTTAAGGAGCCCTTTAAGGAACCCCTATTTCCTCAGTCCCCCGACCCCCCCCCAGTAACCCTTTCTTCCAAACTCCAAGCTGAGGCCACTTCGAGGCTCCATCGGCGAGTTCGGCTTCGGTGAGAAGGTCGGGTGCCGAGCTTCCGATATGTACGTATGCATGTGCATCTTGCTTGTATTCATTATACTGCTACTATTGTATGTATATATATATAATTATATATATATATATATATGTGTGTGATATAGTACATACATATATATATATATAGAGAGAGAGAGAGAGAGAGAGAGAGAGAGAGAGAGAGAGAGAGAGAACGGCAAAGAGAAAGAGAGAGAAAGAGAGAGAGAGAGAGAGAGAGAGAGACAGAGAGAGACAGAGAGTCAGAGAGTCAGAGAGTCAGAGAGTCAGAGAGTCAGAGAGTCAGAGAGAGAGTCAGAAAAACAGAGGGAGACAGAGAACGAGTTTTTCGGGCCTGAGGGTTTTGAGCTTACGGCTTAGGGCGCAGGTTTCAGGAATTTGGAGCTTGAGGGTTCTAAACTTCGTTATTAGGACATTAGGGCTTAGGGTCCTGCTTAAAGAGACCGACGTCCGAAGTGTGAAACGGGAATTGTCGGAATCGCTCAGTAATTAATTCAGAAGCATGAACACTTCATTGCCAAGAGTACTCCTCTAGGGTTATTTATTTTGCTTACAGTAGACAATACCCCAAGGCTTTGTTCTGACTGTTTACACTCGGTCAAGGTTCTCGTCGACCTCCGCCCGCGCGTTCAGACCTCTGCGGTGTGGCCTCTCCAGGCACAGTGGTTCGGAAGGTCTAGGGTTTGGGGTTTAGGGTTTAGGGTTAAGGGGGACAGGGTTGAAAGTTTAAAGATTCTTTAGGGCTGAGGGTTTAGAGCTCACAGGGCTTAGGGTGTATTTTTGGCTTGTTTCGAAGGCTCTAGGCTTTTGGGCTTTGGTGCTTGTAAGGCTTCGGGGAGAAGTGGTTGTGTTTGACACGCTTATCATCATCAGTAGTGACGGTTTAGGCTTAATAAGGGTTTAGGGTTTAGGGGGTAGTGTGGGAGGGGGCATATGGCATCAGCTTTTTCCATGGCCAGGAAACTACGCACCCAAACGTATTCTTGCCGGAGTTCTCGGTTAAGCGATAGCTGCCTGAAGGTTCCACAGCATTTGCATCAAAGGTGTTACTGCTGGGTCCGTTAAGCAAACCGCAGCGCTAGCTGGCGCAAGTTTAGGGTTCAGGGTTTGTTGCAAGGGAATTCGGCTACAGGTCTTTGCATAGTTTCGTCGAGTGGTATGTCATGCTTCGGCGAGCCCTGCATACACATCCGTAAACTAAAGCTCTAAGCCTTGTAAGCCTTATAATCCCTATGATTATAACCTAAACTAAGCCATAAGCCCTATCTGCCTATCTATAACCCTAAACCTACGCCATAAACCCTAAATTCAAGCCATATTTGCTGCAACTCTAAACCTAATCCATTTACGCTATAGCCATAAGCACGCGCTATACGTCCGAAATACCCTAACCCCAACCTTAACCCCAAAGAACCTACCTTTTTAGGGACTTGTATAAAGAAACCATATTAGAAGGGCCCTAAAAGGTAGGTTCTTTAGGGTCCAGGGAAACCCTGAACCCTACACCTTAAAGCCTAAACGAAGCCCTCAGAGGCCTCGGTGCCTAGCTTGGGCATTCCATTCCGTGGGCAGGCCATGGAGCGCTTCGGAGAGTTCCTTTTCAGAGTCTAACCTATGGTTTTGGGGTTCCATTGGCTCTTCAGCTCCTTATTAAGTAGGGATTATCATCACCCCTGGCTCCTTAGCTCCTCCAATATCAGTGGTTAGGAGAGTTCCATTTTCAGGGTTCCTGTAAGGGTTCCTTCAAGAATCCTTTTCAGGGCTCCTTCAGGAATTCCTTTAAGAGTTCCTTTCAGATTTCCCTTGAGGGTTCCTTTAAGAGCTTTGGGGTTTGAGGGTTCCGGGGTTTAGGGTTGTTTTCGAGTTTTGGGGACTTAAGGCGTATTATAGGTGTAGGGGTTTCGGATTCTGAGGGCTTCAAAGGTTGCAAATACGAGGTTAAGCTGCTTGATACTCCGGTAAAGACCCTTTTAGGCACTCAAATAGGGAAGCTGAAAACCCCTTATAAGCCCTTGCAGTACTTTCAGAGGTCCAGGTCGTCAGATTCTGTTGCGGTGCGTTAGGCTACTAAAGAGGCTGGCGGCTGGAGATGCCTCCTCCACGTCTTTCTGTTTGTGTCGCAGACGATGCTTTACCAACGCAGTGGGCCGCAGCATAGCATCAAGACTGTCGAGTCTTGTTCAAGCAGACAAAGACCAGAGAGTTAAGCTGCTTTTTGGAGGGCGGTGCCGGCATAAGTGTATTCTGGAGCCCTGCGAGAATATGTTAATATGTTTATCAGCTCATGAGGCCGTATAAAGCCCTTAGGAAAGCTATCATAAGACTGTTGCTTGTTCAGGCCCCTAATGTGTAACTCTGAATAGCGACACTCTTCAGCAAAATCAAATGAATATACTATAACCCCCATCAAGGCCCCGACATAGTTGTGACACGATGTCGTGTCAGAGGCAGCGCGGCTGATCGCACTGCGCACTATCGTGGAGAACGAGGCTGTTTCGGGTCCCGCTTGGGTCGACAAAGCCACATAAATCTAAACCGTAAAGCTCTAAAGCCGCAGACCTATAAACCATAATTAGATCCGAACCCCAAACCCCAAAGCCCTTAAGCCTCCAAAGCTCCGAAGCCCTGTAGCCTAAAGCCCCTGAAACCCCAAACCCTAGAGTCCTAAAGCGCTACACCCTTTGAAGGCCAAAACCCTACCTTAACCTACCAAAAACCTACTTTTTTGTAGGGTCCCTTATACATTCCATGTTGGGGTTTTAGAATAAGAACCTACAAAAAAGTAGGGCTTGGTAGTTTAGGGTAGACATTAGAAGCTGCCCCCCCTGTAATAGTGACTGTAAGGATGATATTAGGGCCCCATTATATTCCTGTCATACCAGTATTACAGGGTGGGGGCAGCTTCTAAGGTAGACATCTCAAGCCCTGAAGGGTCGGTTCCGGAGACTTCCAGTCGAGACTGCCTGGTTCCCCAAAGGGTCCAAAGTACCGCTATAGTAGAGGTTTAAGGTTTAGGGGTTTTGGGGTTTAGGGTTTAGGGTTACTTCAAGAGACTTCCCCAAAGGGTCCTATGTACCGGCGAAGTTTCGAGTTCCGGTGGAGCACGAAATCAGACGATTTCTTGCTTCTTGCATATGGCTGATTTCTGCAAGGCTGCAGGAGCTTCTCTGCTTGGAGGATCATGGGACTTAGTAACTAGGGTTACAAACAGATTAAGAATTCGCAATACGAACAGGTAAGGTACTTCTAATTATAACCGTCCAAGTAGCTCTGGGAGTCGAGGATCATCTTCGTGCAACCCAGTTCTCCCCCTAATAAATCCACCGCCAAACCGTTTCAACGAGCGTTGTTTGCAACCCGAAACGTGGAGCTGTAAGCCTTCTCAAGCCGTCTGCAAATGCTTCTTGCTCCCAAAAGTTCTTGTTGAATTAAGATGATGGCCAGCCATTTTTTTGATGATGGCTTTTGAATTATATAGCACGTTTAAAACCTTAATACCCTAAACCTTGAACCCTACACCATCAACCTTGTGTGGTTTTGCTTCAACACGACGGCCAGATGTCGGAGCTCCCCGTGGTAACCTCCCACTCGCGCTTTGGCTGGCCCATCGCGCCAGCCCCGGTGGGGCTTCTCCCCCAAAGGGTCCAAAGTAACCATACAGTAGAACTTAGATCCCCAATACCCAACCTTTAAACTTTTTGGGATCTTACAGTTTACTAGGAGTCGGAAAGTTTAAGCTTTCATTTCTGTCAGAAAGTTGGAACATCATTATCCTCTTGCCCTTAAGGTAAAGTAGAAGGGATCCTAGCACTAGTCCTTTTGAAGCCATGTTCCGACTTTCCGGCTTCTACTATAGCCCAAAGGGCCCAAAGTAACCATATAGTAGAATGTAGGGTTTCTGTATTAGGAATGACTATTATGGTTTCGGGAAGTATCCCCCATAGCAGTACCTAGGAGCCTCTGGGTTCATGACTACCGGAGTCCTTCTTTCTATGCGGCGGATTCTATATGGGAGTGTCCGAAAATTAGGGGTACCTTATGTTGGGGTCCTTAGAATAAGGATCCTACCATTTAGGGTACTTTCTTGGGGTCCCCTCTTTTCGGAAACTCCCATACGGAGTACTACTTTCTGACATTCTCTCTCAAACTGCACAGGATTTAACTAAGGAGCTTGCTGTTTCTCCAGACGTGCAAGGAGTGTCAAGGGACGGGGTTTTCTGAGAAAGAGCATCCATGGTGGATCAAAGAGCCCTGATCAACAGCCCGCCTCCGATCCTGGTTCTAGTGTTCAGTCCCTGGAAGAAGAGGGCGGGTACTCAGGGTCTACATGACGAGGGTGCTCGCTGGCTTCCAATCTGTCCTTTTCGACCCCCACTCCTTGCACTTCAATTGTTGAAGCCCGTCGGGGTGCTCAGGTAGATAGACGCCCTAACCCTCATAACCCCTGAACCCGTAAACCCTCAACCCCTAAACCCTTATCCCTGTTCCGGCAGAGTTCGCACATGCGGAGCTTCTGTGGCATTGTCATCCATGCTTCCCCTAGAACAGGTACTGGTCTGGGTCTACTTTGTAGGGGCAGACTCCGACAAGGTCCCCCAAGTGGTTTTGGCTTCTATAACTTCTAGGGTGGAGGACACCAATGATGCACTTAGTATCCTAGGCCGAAATTGAAGCACGAAGTCTGTAAGACCTGAAACATTGAATTGCATCCTCGAGGATGTACAGCTGCTAAACGAGACGATGGGCACTTGCCAGCCAGAGAACATTCCAGGTGCAGCCCGCGGGTCTGGGAGGATTTCACGGTTTAGGGTTTAGGGTTTAGGGTTTTAGGGTTTAGGGTTCAGGGTTTTAGGGTTTTAGGGTTTAGGGTTTTAGGGTTTTAGGGTTTTAGGGTTTAGGGTTTAGGGTTTAGGGGATTCACCGCAAAATTTGTCGAGACTACCCTGAACCCGAGGACCGCAACGATGCAACCCCGCAGCCTTAAGTTCGGAGTCTCGGGTCAAGTTGCTGCAAGAGCACAGTAGGGGCCTTAATAATGGGAATAGGGCTTTAGGGGGGGGTTTCCTTCTTATACTTATAGTATAATAAATCCCCAAAAACCCTATACGAGTTAGCAAGGCCCCTACATGACACCTGAACCAGCTTTCATTCCTACTCAGATACTCAGTTTGTGGGGTTGACCTGGGCTTGCTGGAGCCAAGTGGTACCTTGTTGCACGATCCCCGGTTAGCTTTCGGATTAAGTTTGAGAGGCCGTGTGTTTAGTTCTCGGATACCATTTGAGGACGAGCTTAAAGTCCCAAATCTTAAGAAAACCCTACACCACTAAATCCTTCATCACGAAGCCGCAAACTCCCAAACCCCAAACACTCTCGAGATTCTTGGCATCCAACTACCGAAAGCTGTAAGTCCTAAGAAGTCCTCTGATGTGAGGTGCGAAACGCATGGCTTGCCGACTCAGGGACGGCGCTGTCGGCGAAGTGCCTGCGGCTTCGGAAAGCAGGGTTAAGGTGTTTTGGGTGTGTGTTTTTCTTGTCGGGTTTTGGTGAGTGGCGTTGAAAGGTTCAGGGATTCCGGGTAGGGTGTTTTGAGTTTCTGAGTTTACAGGGTTTACAGGGCTTTGGGTTCAGGGGTTGCAGCCTCGTGTTGTGCATGACCGAAGGTCACGAGGAAGAGCTACCCTATCATATATCTTTCTATGCATACATGTGTACATACAGACATACATACATGCATACAACACATGCATGTATAAACACATACACAAACCATTCAAAAAAATGATAGCCCACAGATGGAATGGCTGGCTGGCTGGCTGGCTGAATGGATGGCTGGCTGAATGGATGGATAGATGGATGGATACGTAGACAGATAGATAGACAGATGGGCAAAGAGATAGATCTGTAGGTGGATTGGCAGACAGGTTGGATGGCAGATAGAGATATGCACAGATTGCTAGATGGCGAGATGGATAGATGAATAGGTGAGCAGATAGGGCTAAGAAGATAATTTCGACGCGGTTAGATTGGCTTAGATGGGCTTGCGCTAGATTGGACTGGGAGATGGGTCGATAGATGGATAATGATGGATAGATAGCTCTGTAGACAGATCGGTAGATAGGTCGGTAGATTGATACGACATGGACAAGTCGATAGAAAGATCGACAGACAGAGAGACAGTGACGTTGCTTCAAACACATCCATGCAGTATGCGTTACGATTACTCGATGTCTTGGATTACACATCACGTTGCTTTGCTACGAAGTACCTTTAAGTCTAATTCTGTAGACTACATATGCCATGCTTCACTCATGTTGCAAGCCTGATTAGCATCCACAAAAAAATCATCTGGGAGTTTCCGAAAATTAGGGGGTACCCTATTCTGGGGTCCTTATTATAATGATCGTACTATCTAGGGTACTATATTCGGGTCCCCTATTTTCGGAAACTCCCATAGCTCCTCTTTAATATAGTATAGAAACCCTTATCGATCCCTTTACAGGACGCCCTTTAAGGAACCCTAGTTATAGATAGCTCGAATACCAGTTCATTTCTGCCCTCTAACATCGGGCATCCCAGGTGCAGCTGGTCGTGATTTGCGGCCGGCTCCTCAGGATGCGGTTGATGATATAAATCCTGCATTACCTCAATGGCCCTAGACTGTGGGAATTCTGGTATATTCCCTATTAAAGCCGCTGAACCACTAGACCCCTAAACCGCTAAACCCTTAAACCCTAAACCCTAGATGCCTGTGCGGTTTGAGACTTGAGCCGAAGGCCCTTGAACAGTTTATAGGTGTTTTTTGGTCCATGGTCGGCTTTCACATGGGGTTTGATCGGGTCTTAGGGGGTTTTGCTGCGTTTGGTAGGGATTTATAGGAGTCGATTGGATTGAGGGCTTTATGTTTTAAGCAGGGTTTTCGGGTGCAGCGCTTTCGGGGTTCAAGGCTGATACCCTAAACTCTAAGCCCTAAACCCTAAACCCTAAACCCCTAAACCCTAAACCCCTAAACCCCTAAACCCCTAAACCCTAAACCCTAAACCCTAAACCCCTAAACCCCTAAACCCTAAACGGGATCGTGAAGGGAGCCTCTGCGGCTTTGCAGGTCTCGGGCTGCTGGGTCTTCAGTTTCCTTCTCGACGAGCGGGGATATTCAGCTCATGATGCAACCAACTGCTACCTGGACCCCCCCAAAAGTATGTAAAATCATAGCCTTTTATAGGTCTCAGGCCATCATCGTACCTACTTTTAGGGTTTAGGTAATGCATGATTCTACCCTAACCGACGTAAGTGGTGGAGCTTCAGCGGCCGACCGCTGTGTGGAGAATCACAACCCCAAGCATCCAGGCAGACCCGCCATTTCACCTTTTCTGTTCAAGAGTCTCGCTCCTGGCAGGAAAGATACTTATACCGTATCCGTCGTCGCGTCCTCACGTCGCAGGATAGATGCCGGCAAGGTGTTGTAAAAGACTGGAGTGAAAAGCCAGTAGCTTGCCCCGGTACATGTCAACGTTTTGTGCGGAACCTTGCGCACCTCTGTGGAAATTTTATGTTGAAGGGATCGTGGGCAAATTAAACTTGATTTCAGATTCACCCGTTTGATTTCGGATGGCAGATGGAGGGCACCTGTGGGCCGTTTTAGGTGCTGCTAAGAGTCCCTGATGCAGGCTATCGTCTTTCGTCAGATCGTTGAGAGTGGGGGGGCGCCTTGTTAAGGTCTGTGCAGCAGCGGCCGCGCCGCGCTTCATGTAGGATCAGGCGCAGCGCGGTGAGTCCATTTCAGGGCTGGTTCACAGACACACTGACAAGTATACATAAAGAGTTTGTGTATACGTATGTATATATCTACGCACGTGCACACCATACATACCATACATGCATGCATCCATAGATACATACATACATACATACACACATACATACATACATACAAATAGGTTTCTGTATTTTACATGTACATATATGATCTAGATTACTTACACATGTTATCTGTAACTCCTGTTGTCAACATTGCAGGTCAAAGGATTTAAATATGCTGTGTTGATACTTTCACACTTCGTCCCTCTTCTTGGCCTTTCAACTGGACATGCAACAGACATGAGCCCAGCTATGGGACACTCGGATGCAGTCTAAGCACTCATCTGAAAGTCCTTCAGCTCACATCATGGGATTTGCAAACCCCCATGCGTAAGTTTCTAAACACCCGCCAAAATCTTCAGACCTTCATCCCCAGAATACCCGAGCGCTGCAGGGCCTCGCGGATTGTCCAAGAAAAGGTTTGGAGTAGGCAGCGAAGGGTTTTGGGTCTTGAATTCGGGTATCAGGTATCCTGCTCTGCGCTGTTCGGGGTGTATAATATACGGGTGGTTGTCAAAAAATTAGGGTCCCCTTTAGTGGTCCCCTTTTTGGGTACCCTAAATAATGGGTGCCGTATTATATTAGTGCCCAAAAGGGACCACAATTTTGACAACCACCCATATAGAGGCCTAAATAAGTGCTAACATTTTTGTTGTTGCTCTACTACAACACACCCCGAACTCATTCTAAATGTTCAGCTTCCTCTTATGCTATAGCTCGAAAGGAATCAGGTTGAGGTTTCATTCCTCGCCAAATCCTCCTCAAGTTTAGTATAGGGTTTATAGGGGTTAGGGGTTTAGGGTTTACAGGGTTATAGGGTTCAAGGTAGAGGGCTTTGGCTTTATGCTAGGCCCACAGCCTCGAAGTCCGAAGCACCCTGAGCCTGAATCTCCAAGCCCCCGAAAAACCTCAGATCCCAACCGCAAGCCCTAAATCACCCAAGCCCTAATATGTGGGCCTTAATAATGTTCTATAGTATTTTTTTGTTTGGGGGGGGGGGGGGGTCCTTCAATTATAGTATAATGTAAAGACCCCCAAACCCGATTCTAATTATTCAGGCCCTTATGGTACAACCCCCGTTGCAAGTCCCGCACAGCCCAAGCGTTAAGCCTTGAACTCGAAACAGCGCAAACCCAAAGCCTTGACCTTGAGACCTCAAACCGTTTCGCTGGGTGCTTACACCGAATTTAACTTACCAGTCTAGGGATCTGCAATAGATAATGCAGGTTCTTTATTATGGTAACTTAAGTTAATTACAGTCCCTAACAAGAACCCAGTATCCCTGAGCCTTAAACCCTAAAGCCTAAATCCCTTAACAAGAGCGCAGCAAAGGATAGCTTAAGGATTTTTCATGTTTCAGCTCGGGAGCATTGGACCAAGGCAGGGAATTCACTCAGACAGCTTTGCCGGGGACCTATCGAGATTATTGTTGGTGTGTGGGTGTCGGGTTTCGTTGAAGGTCTGAACCGTGGTTTGGGGTTGAAGCTTTGGGTGGATTGCCTGCTAGCGGTCTACGAAGATATGCCTGGGATACACAGGTTGACCGTCTAGGGAAGTTAGGCCTTGTGTTTTGACCTTTGAGGTCGAGTCATTACTACAATCCCAAGTCTCACTCTCTCTCTTTCCCTCCCTCTCACTCTCTCACTCACTCACTCACTCACTCACTCACTCACTCACTCTCTCTCTCTCTCTCTCTCTCTCTCTCTCTCTTCCTCAGTTTGTTTCCATAGCCTTGCTCTACTTAAATTGCAATCCAGACAATGTAGCCCCGATCAAATATGCACGGCTCCAGCGGGGCCCCCGAGCCCCCCGCAGTCCGACAGCCGGCACCCTCAACCCAGGTTCAGGGGTTTCGACCTCAGGTTGCTCAAGCCCTAACCCCAAGGGTCCAAAGGACCCAATATTTAAGTACTCGGTTTTAGGGTAGTAGTTATGTAGGGTAGGATTTTGGAGAGTATATGATTATTAGGTACTTGGACCCTTGGGGTAATCCCTTAAACTCTTTAATCCCACACTCCCTAAGCCGTACTAGGGTGCAGTGAGCAGTGAGTGGCGCCCTTTGATAGGGAGATGGGATCTTGAAGGTGGCCTTCTCGAACTTTGTGTTTGGAATGTTATGTAATATTTCAGGGCTCAGAGGGTTTCGGAGGCTCTGGCAGGGTTGGAGGTTGTCAGGTTTGGGTGATTGCTGCTGCCGGCTGTCAGGAGTTCCTGACAATTGCAGTTGCCGGTACTGCAGCTATTTCTGCTGAGACATCCGGGATATACTGGGAGTACACCGGGATGGTGGTCATGGAGGCTGCTGATGGTGACATTACTAATTAGTCTTTGTTGACATTGATTTTGTTGTCTGTCATGCATAGATTCTTTACTCATGCCATGGATGTCAGTGTGTCTCTTCTCATCTAGATGCGTTCTTGTCGTTCTTCTTGCTAGCTCACAGCTGTGGTCACCATCAAGTACTAGTATGACAACGAGCTGTGCCACTACTGCTGGTGGCACCGTAGTTTGGAAGCCTTCACGAAGAGACAGTCGCAGCTTGATTACCCGAAATCCGTAAACCCCAAACCCTAAACTGCGAAAGCTCCACCAACGCCGCAAAAACCTGAAGCTCTGAAGACCGTGGCTCCCTGAATCATCATGAGCCCTAACGACAGGGAGCTCGAAGTGACAGGGGACTGGAGGGTTAGAAATAGGGTACATTAATCTACATAAAACTCCTTATTTAGAACTATACATAAAACAAGTCTATAAAGTCTGCCGGAACCCTTGTCTCAGTCTCCAGGCCGGGCCTTTACGTCGAGCCCTAAAACCTTACGTACCAAACCTACTTTCTGGCAGGTTCCTATCATAAACCTTATTATGGAATTCATAGGGACCCTACAAAAAAGGAGGTTCTGGGTGGTTAAGGTAAGCCTCACGTTCTCTAAGGCCGTGGATTGGGCTTTCAGCGCCAGTGCCCAAACAGGCCCGACAGTGGGCCGGGCCCACAGAGAGGAGGTACAGCTTGTGGACCTGCTAGGGCTTGGGGTCAGGGTGGACGACAAAAGTATGTAGAATAATACGGTTGATGATATAAATCCTGCATCACCCATAAGAAGGAATGTACCATGATTCCCATAGTTTAGGGTCCTTAAGGTAATGCAGGGTTTATATCATCAACCGTAGCCCTTCAAATGTTTTGGCCCGCTATGTTGCTTACTTTTGTGGGTTGAGGTAAGATTCAGGAATTACGAGTCTTAGAGTTAACGAATTTAGGGTGAGGTCTAAGGGATTCTAGGGTTTAGAGTTTGGGGTTTAGGATTAGTTCCAAGGCTGTGAGTGTCGGGCTCGCTGAGTTAGGGCTTGGTCTTTTTCAGGTGGTTCGGGGCTTCCGGGTGTAGTGCGCGATTCGGCGTCGGTTGCGCATCGATGTTGTTTGCAGCGGCGTTTGGTTCAGGCTTCGATTATATCATTAGCTGTTCGTTTTTGGCAGCGCTTTGATTGTGGTTGAAGACTGCAAGGTTTTTCTGTCTGCAAGTGCAAGGGCCGGTTTTGTTTAGGGTTTAAGGTTTAGGGGACATGCGAGTTTGTGTTTCTTGGGCAGTTGCCTTTGGGTTTCGACTGGTGCTCACGGCTCGGAGCTTTCGGCTGACGTTTGTGGGTTGCCCTAGCGGACAGCACAACGCCGGTTCTCAAGAACCCTTTACGGCCTAAATGCCCTAAATCCTATATGGCCTAAACCTCCACCCTAAACCCTAAACCCTCAGCCTTAAAGCATCCTTCAGGCCGAGATCCCAAGCCCAAACTACAGCTCAGTTTCATGAACAGCGAAGGACCCGAAGGATGTTTGCAACTTTCAGCACGGAGCCTTGAGTTCCTTGCAGTGGGTAATATTCATAAGTTTGGAACTAAATTACCAGATCCGTAAGGGGGATACCAGTCTTCTGATATCAACCTAAACTCATGTTCTCAAGTGTGGAACTAAATTAAATCACCAGTCTCGAGACCAGAACTGTTCGGGTACCGGACACCCAGTTCTTGAAGAGAACCACGTCCTAGGTGGTCACAGTCACGGACGACAAGGCAGTTGGACTCAAGTCGTCGCTCTGTTTTTCGGTTTTGGTTTTGGGGTTCAGGTTTTGTAAGGGCTTCGGCTTTGGTCTAAAATCCTAGTACCCTTATAGTAACCCTTCTAGTAGCCCTCATAGGCCCCTTTTAAGGAGCCCTTAAAGGAACCCTCGCTAAACCCTAAACCCGAAATGCAACATGAGAGCCGATGCCTTGAGTTTGGATGATTCAGGTTTGGCGTTTACGATTAAACCCACCCAGACCTTCCAAAATCCCTTAATTATGGAATGTACCCTAAATTATAGTAGGATCCCTATTATCATTTAAGGTATATTCCTGAATTACGTGATTTTGGAAGGTCTGGGCACATTGACACAAACCCAACCTTAACCCTGAAGAACCCACCTTTTTAAGGACGTATATAAGGAAATCACTATAGGGAACCCTAAAAGGGGGTTAAGGAAAAGCCTATTTGGACTCTGAGTTTTGGTGTTTTGGGTTGTGGGCTCTGCGATTAGAAGGGTGTAGACGGCCCGGGTTTCCTAATTTTTTGGGGTGTTGGACGTACTTTTCACATTACAGGAGCTTCGAGCAGTGGGGTTTAGGAGTTATGAACGGTGAAGGTATTCAGACAATTCCGTTTCCCTGCTTCTGAATCGGAATCCAGAAAAATTCCGCAACACAACCCTCAACGAGACCGATACAAGCCCCTGCCCAAAGTGAGTCAAATTAGCCCTCTAAACTTCTGCGCCCCGAAACCACAGGCGAGAAGTCGCCCTCGGAACTCCCAAACCGTAAGAATCCAAAACCGTCCCCGGTGGGCCTCTAAAACCCTAAATCCTAAACCCTAAACCCAACACGAAAGCCGTCGAAGCCGGGTCCCCGGAAAGCTTCGACAACAGACCCATATGGTCCTAAGCCCAAAACTTAAAACCCTAAAGCCTAAACCCTGCCTTTGTAGAAAGTAGGGTTGCTATAGTGGGACTCGGAGCTTACTTTTCCAGCTTCCCTTAACGGAGACTAATGAATCGAATCCAATAACCCTAAACTTTATATGACCAGTAGTATATTACTTCGAATACTACTATTAAAACTAAGGCCCGCAGCAAGTACAAGTCGGAGATCCAACCTCTGAGCAGGAACGGTTCGAGTTTGTGGTCGCCATCGCGCGCGGGGACGCACAAGTGCCCGGATCCTAGCGCTTGGCACGGTTTTGGGATTGAAGATGCTGTATAGGGTCATAAAGGGTTTAGGATGAACGGGTGGCGTGTTATGTTTCTTAACGTTCCATGTTGGAGTTCATATTCGTATACGTCCGCTTCCCCGGCTTGTGGTAGGTGAGGATAACCTAGGATGGAAGCCCTCCGCAAGCCAAGCGTTCAGGTTTTGTAAGACATCCTGGAAAGCTCTGTAACCTCCAGCCTCCTGCCGAAGGATTAAACGGTAACCATAAACTGCCATAGACCATCATAAACCCCTAAAGCCCCCAAACCCTACACCACCCCTATACACCCTAAACTTTACACCATAAACCCCTAAAGCCCAAACCTCCAGATTTTTCAAAAGGCCTTGACTGTGACCATCCCAGTCTGAAGAAGAAGAAAGCTCAGTACCGAAGCAAAGATGCCGAGGACCTGGCAGGAGTCCACATCTCAGCGCCACGCTCGCCTTTGTGGCTGGGTCCTGGCACAGGCCCCTAAAGCGCGCATTTCCGGCGTTTTCGGGCTGAGGTTTTGGGTGTACGGAGTCGGATTTGAGGGTTAGAGTTTGGGATGTAAAAAGTTTGCAAGTTTGAGGGTTTACTTAGATCCGCAATACCCAACCCGTAAACTTTTCGGGTTCGTACAGTTTAGTAGGAATCGGAAAGTTTAGCCTTTCATTTCTGCGGCCTATTGGGTTTGTAAGTTTGGGGTATGGGTCTGCATGGGCTTCAGGGGTTCAGGTTTGAACGCTTTTGGGGGTTTCCCATGCCGGGTTTAGGGTGTATAGGGTTCAAGGGTTGCTCTGCAGGAGTTAGGCAAGCTGTGTAGAGCTTGGACTCTTTCGGGTTCAGGGTCTATGTGTTAGTGGTCTGGGGCCTAGTGTGCTGAGTTGTGTTTTTGTAGTTGTGCAGTAGGGGTTGGACAAGCTGCTGTCATTTTTTGTAACTGGGGAGTACCAGGAACTACCATAACCTACTTTCTGTAGGATCCCTACAGACTCTATGCTTCTGCTTTCTTCTCACCTGGTACGAAACTCGGCTATGACTTTGACTTATGCGCCCAAGACGGCTGTTAGAATCTGAACTTAAGCCATCAGTCTTAAACTCTACGTCCCTCTGGAACCCTTAGCGGAACCTTGAAATGAGCCTCGCTGTCTCGGGCTTCCGTTCCGTCAGGAATTAAGGTTTCGAGTTTAGGCTCCCTGTCATGTGCAGGTAGCTCTGGCCGCCATTGCGGCTGCCTCTGCTAGATGCCAGGGTTTTAGGGTTCAGGACTGTATCCCTGACACGGCATACTAATCATCCTTGCACCAATACGTCCCATCGAAGGGTCATGTCGTAGCAAGACTTCTTGTTATCGGCCTGGCTATTGACGGCAGCTTCGTTGTTTGTGTTATCATGCCTCAGCTGTCCTTTATCATCACGCAAGACTCGCATCCTCAATTTACTTAGTCTCCGGAATCGGTAGCCCTCCCCCAGAGAAAACCCACTTCGCGAAACGAGCCAAAAACCTAAACTCCCTAAACGCCTAACCCCTAAAGCCTTAAAGCCTAAACGCTAAACCCTATGCCTAAACCCTAAACCCGGTACGTAAGCCCAAGCCAGAGCTCCACTTGTGCTACAGTACTGGGGGATGCAGATTTACATATCGAGTTGCTGGCTCACTGTCAGAGAAATGTCTCATAAAATGTAGAACCTGGTTCCTATATACCTGGAGACCAGCAGCATGCTTAGATACTGTCTTGAAACAGGCACATGTGCACAGACATGCGTGACTGCATACTGCCCGTGTTTGTGGCGCATACACATATAGGAGATTAAGGTCCATTTCTAGGTCCCGCCAGGATAATACGTAAGACTTGTCAAAAGGACCCTACTCAGAATTTCGAGAACTACCCATACGTTATGGAAGATCCCTGGTTACGAGCCCAACTTTTGCGCATGTGAGCATCGAGCGGTGTTTGGGCGACTTACTCAAGCGCCCGCAGGGAAGTCTGGCTCGACAATTGAACATAGCGCAGCGCGTGCGTCAGTGCGCCGAGTCGTAGTGTGGAGGTCTGCACCGGTGCAATTTGTATCCCCTCCCGACAAGGATAGTCTACTAATACCCCCCCCCCCCTGGGGCTAATTCTAGTTATCGAGGCCACTATGTCCAACGCCCGGCATTGAACATATAAGTTTCGTTGTTGGATGTTCGGTCTTCGGGTCGAGGATTCGAGGTTGTACGACTGTCCGTATGTATACTCAAAGCTATACAGCTACATTGTAATTACGAGAAACTGCGCATCTCAGGTGACTCATATCGTCGAACAGAATAACGGCCTTGTCTCAAAAGGTTGTGGCTGAAGCCAAACTTAAGCATGAAGATCCTAGTCCTAGTTGACTTAATCCAGACTTCTGGCAGGTATCCTTGAAACTCCAATCAACCCCGAAAGCATTCTTAACCCATCTAACAATCCCCCCTTCAAAAAGCGCCTACAGGTACCTTCTCAACGGAGTGTGTATGAGTGTGTGCGTGTGTGTATGTATAATATATATATATATATATATATATATATATTTACATTTGTATATCTATCTATCTATCTATCTGTGCATACAAAAAGAGTGAAGCCCAACACCGGCCCCCAGGCCGCAACTGTCCTGGCTTGCGCAGCCGCGGTGACAGGCCTAGAAAGGGCTAGGAATCATAATATCTTGGTCTATAATGTTTTTTGGATTAGGGTTTAGGGTTTGTACAGCTATAACAAGTACATAGCCCTTTCAAGGGTTCAGGATATAGGGTCTTGTAGTAGAACAACCCCAAACCGCTGTTTCAACAATCGCAATATGAGCCCATATTGTACTAAGTAGCTGTTTTGAGGGTTTAGGCCTATGAGGTCTCCAGGGTTCAGCGTAGGTGAGTTCCAAGCCCCACTCCGATTGTGAAGAGGCCCGAGTATAGAAGCCAGGATATTTGGTAATGCCATTCCTGAGTGGGGCTCCTGATTCATTCACACTGCGTAACGCACACCATTACGCTCATCTCCAAGCCCATAGAGCCTCCTTGCATCCCGCTCTCAAGGCACTGTGACTTCTCTGCATGAGTCCAAAAGCGAGTTTCTCTCCTCAGCCTTAAGCCCCTAAGCCCTAAACCCGAAAGCCCGAAACCCTAAACCCCTGAACCCGAAACCCTCAACCCAAAGCCCATAGACCCTAAACCCGAAACTCAAAGCCGCCTTGAAAATTCTCTGAGGCTCTCCGCCCCAGGCCCTCAAAGCCTCTGAGACTCTGTACCTCGGAGCCATGGAACCCCAAGCGCCGTTGCCACGCCGAAGCCTTACCCTAAGACTCCAAGCAATATAGGGGCCTTACTATAGAATTACCCAGGCTATTTATTTGGGGGTGCCTTACTATAAGTACAGAACTTATAATGGACCCGTACAGAATTTATAATGGGCCCTATTCTAGTAATTAAAGCCTCTACATTATGTACGCGTCACCTACTTGGGGGTCTAAAGTCTACAACTGGTACCTACTTCAGGCAACTTGGAGCTCTAGGGTTAAAGAAACTTCTTTCCAACGGGTAAAGGAATTGATACAGCAACTTCATAGACAGGGGTATAGGGGTGCTAATACAGAAACTGACCGAGAAACTGCTTCAGAAACCTCATTCTAAACCCTAAACCCTTGAACACTAAATCCTAAACTCGAAACCGGATAGGCTTAAGCCCTAAACCCTGAAACCCTAAGACCCCCAAACCCTACGAACCCCAAACCTCTAATTTAAATCCTAAACCCTATAATCCCGACATACCCGAAACCCGAAGTCCTAAACCTAAACTTCAGTCTAAGTCTCCAGGGCCCCTCTTTAGATCCCTTATAGAACCCTTAAAGGAACACTTATAAGACCCTTTAAAGGAGCCCGCGAAGTCATGACCGCAGGTCGTCCCGCGGCACCGCTTGCAGCCGCGCCGGGGCTCAGTGCTGGAGCCATGGCTCTACCCTTCTTGGCGCTGTTGGCTGGCCGCCAGGAAGCCTCCATGTTATAGAGAGAGAGAGAGAGAGAGATTTATATGTATATATATATATTTATATATATACATACTCATGTCTATGTGTATTCATCTAGTTGTAAGTTGAATATATACTTATATATATATATATATATACACATGTATGTATGCAGTGTGCATATATACTTTTCGTCGTTTTGTAATTATAAGTTATCGTTGTTACACCTCAGGATTGTAAGGACTTCACGATCTTAAGGCATTCGTGAGTGTCTGCAAGGGCCTTGTGGGTTTTACAGCTACTTCTGGGGATTATAGGATTTATACAGTTTCCGGGGCCTGGGCTTAAGGGGTTTAAAGGGCTAAGACCTTGAGTAGGCCCTTATTCCCTTTTTTCAGGGTTCAGGTTCCCTTGTAAGCCCTTTTCAACCAAAAAGGGCACCCTGTTTGTTCCTAGGTTACTCTCGGGTCTAGAGGGTGTGCAATTTTGTAGGAGGGTTGCAGGTTTTAGGTTTTGTGCTCGTGGTGTTATCGGTCCTCGGTCGCATTCCTATTCCTTTTTCTGCTGACGACTGGCAAGCTTTCAAGCCATTGATTATTTATGTACCCAGTTATAGTACGACCGTACGACCGCCACTGCGGTCGTTTGCCGTGACCTGTTGGTGACTAGCAAGAGGGATGATGGCGAGCAAGACAAACCATGCTACACTTTCTCGTCTTGCTTTGAGGTTGTGTGTTCCGTCCGAAGAGGGTGAACCAAAACCCTTGGTTAACCCTAGCCCAAGGTTGGGTCTGTGATTTCCGTTGCTGCGCAACGGCCTGAAGCAAAGGCTATCTAGTGTACTGCACAGATACACGAAATTCCTGAGTAGTGCCTTTTGCCCTTTTTTATTTGGGCTCCTTTAGTAAAACCAAACAGTAGGAAAAAGGGTACGTATCCTTATTGTTAAGGGCCAAGCGGCTACGCAGGAACCCCACCAGTTCTCCAGAAGATCATCCTGCAGTT